CACCTGCTGGGACAGGCTATTCCAGCTCACTTCTTTGGTGACTATAAGAATAGTGCAAGCAATGTTTTTTTTTCTGTATCTTTACCTCGTTACTAGTACAATGAGAAACAGAGGAACTGAGGGAGGTGTTTCTTTCCCTTCATTTAATTCTAAAAGGTTATTCTTGCTTCCACTGTCCTAAGAAGGCTAGAAAATAAAATAACAAAAACCCAGATCTCTGATGCTGTAGGCAAGAGCACATGTATGTTAGATCTCCTAGCCTGACTTTCTAGTCACCTTTCTGGTCACCCTACTCCCACCTCATTATAGTTTCATAATATGTACTGCATGTCATAATTAAAATCAGAGTGAATTCTGGGACAAGCATGTATGTTGACAGCCCCTAAGATGACTCAGTGCTGTCAATCATTCTTGTTAATGACACCTGACAAGTAGAGATTTAGTGAGAGACATCTGGCCTTTAATTCTGAAAGCCTGATTTATTTGTGCTTTTTGTTACTCTCTTGCTATTGCTATTTCTGTGTGCTTTGACCTGTGTGACATGACTTTTTGTTAGCTCAGTCCCTTTATTGATCTGTGCTATATCTTGTTGGCATGGACTTGCTCTGAACACAACTTCTCATGATTGTCAATAAATGTAGCTGCTTGTTACCTACTACTGGATACAAACTTGCAATTCTTTCCTTGTTTTACGCTATGATTGGCATGTTCGAAGCAACAGGATGAGTAACAGAGCAAAACCTCTTCCTTCATGGTGTGGAAAGAACAGAGTGAAAGAAGGGGTTGGGTTACCACTATCCCCTTCAAGGATCAAAGGTCAGCCCCCAGTGTCCTGAAGATCTGGCAGTAGGCCCCACCTCTTAAAGGTTCCACAACTTCCCAGGATGGCCGCTCTGGAAAACAAGCTTTTAATACATGGGCCTTTGGGTGGGCAATCTAGATCCAAACTATAGTAATTGATTTCTCCTTTGGTTTGATCAAGTGATTTGAGTAAGTTGGTAGAGGGAAGTAGCAGGAATGGAACAAATAAAGGAGAATACTTTGGAAGAGATTGTGGTTTAAGGCAATGGTTTTTAAACCGTGTATCAGGGACCTGAGGGTTTCTAAGAAACCTTCTCCAAGGCCATCTGGGGCCATGGCGTGTGGGGAAATGGGCAGAGTGCTTTTCCACTGTCCACAAGAGCAGGGCTGCTCTAACTATTCACACACAGAACTTCGTAAGACTTGCTTTCAGTCAATGTTTTGTAGCTAAGTGTATTTTTAAACCTATTTAAATACACACACATACACACTGCACCAAGACAACAAACTAATGAAAGATATTTACTTATAAAGTTCCCTAACTGGTTATCATTTGAAATCCAAGATTCGGTTTCACACTGATGTTAAGGGAAAGCACTTAAATATGCTCTGCATGTTGTATTCTGTAGTATCAGTATCATGAATCCATAGTTTATCCACCAAATTGACAGCATAAATAAATTATTAGTAATAATAAGACATGAGACAAGGGCTTGAGCCATAAAGTAGAGTGCGGGACAAATGTCTTATACCCACAATCGCCTAATGCTAGCCTACCATTTTTGAATATAACTTGCATTATTCTGACATCTCAATGTAGAATGATTTAATTCTGAGAAGACTTCTCTGTTTCTCGAGTGGGCTGTAGATTTAGAAGAGGCACATGCAAGTGACATGGAGCAATTATGAATAAAATCGCCGGTACTACACTAGCCAGGGAACAGGAGCCTGAAGGTAGCAATCTGGTGGGCTGAATTTCTGGAAACAGCAGAACACAAACTATTGATGGTCTTTGTATTGCCTACATTTGTAAATTATCAAATTTGTCTCTGTAAGAAGTAGAATCTTAAAGTGGTCTATTTTCAGGATAAGGTCTTTACTTCTGAGTGGAAAACTATTATTAGCCTGAGGACACGACTGAAGTCATGCATCTAAAAGAGTTTCTAAATAAAGGGGAAAGGGTAAACAGTCAGAATAGCATTCAGTATGCTAACTCTGATTGGAAAAGTACTGGCAGTTAAGGTTACCCCCTATAGTTTAATCATTTGCTTTGAAACCCCACAAAATGTTCCTAGAGGGAGCAGGCCAAGGGTATAGGCACCAGGGAGGACCCTCCCCACCCAAGCCAGTGAGGAAAAGGGAAAGGGAACTGTGCTAGGAGGGAAAGGGAACTGTATGCTGAGGTTAAACTGGTCCTCGTAACTGCTCTGGGGTGGGTCAGCCTGTTAGGTAGACACCCATTCTTGCAAGACAGAGAATTAAAAAGTCTTACTTTCACTACTCCCAGCCCTTGGTCTGATCTGTCCATTGCTCATGATCAAAGGTGTGGGGGGGGGCAGGTGTTCCTCACACCTCCCTACAAGTTGTTTGGTTTTTAAAATCATACTCAATAAAATCCTTATCATGCATGAAAAAAAGAATCTGTATTAACAGAAAATGGTTTTCTTTTTTTCTTCAGAAAATGGTGTTCTAGACTTTTTTTACTAAGTAGTGTGAAATAAGTTTTTTTAAACTATTCATTTGATAGATACAAAATTATTACCTTTCTAGGAGCACCTTCATGTCAAGGAAGAATCATAAGCAATCCAGCTATGGATTGACAGGAAAGAAGAAGGGGAAAATCGAGGTGGAAGCAAACAGGATTCAGACCAGGAGCAGCCTTGTGAACAAGGTTAAGTCATTTGGGCTCCACCTTGAAGGACAGAATCCAAGTAGCATTAGCAGGATGACTGTTAGGTTTTCTGTTGCTATGACAAAAGTTGTTTACCTGAGAAACACGACTCATCAAGAGGAAAAGTTTGTTTGTGGCTCACTGTTTCAGAGGTTTTAGTTTAATAGTTGCTTGGCATGGTTGCTTTAAGGACTGTAGAGAGGAAAAAACATCATGGAGGAAATGTATGCATAAAGAAAGCTGCTTGAGTCATGGGAGCCAGGACAAACAGAAAGAGAGAAGGAAAGGGAGGAAAACATACCCTTTAAAGGCACAACCCAGTGATACACTTCCTTCAGCTAGACCCCATTCCTAGAATTTACCATATCCCAAAAGCTATGAATACAGAAGTGGACTAATTCCTTCATGGAAAGAGAGCCCTCATGATTCCATTAGTTCCCAAAGGCCCCACCTTAGACCTTGCTGAATTGGGGACCAACACAAATCTTTGGGGGGATATTTAAGATCCAAACCCTAATAATGGCTAAATGTCCATCAGAGTTTCTGCCAGGCCTGACACGCTCCTCTCTTAGAAATGCAGTATTTGTACAAAAACAAAATAAAACAAAAACCAAAGACTCACTCAAATGTCACATTTTAATATATAAAGTCTGTCTTTGAGTCATATTTAGAGACAGTTTGAAAGTTTTTAACTAAACACAGTTGAGAATCCATCAATTGTTGAACATTCCTTCTGTTGAGTATCTTTGAAAGCCATCATTCTTAAAAAGTTTTTTACCAGAGAAACACGTGAACAGTTTGCAAATATTAGCATGAACAAAAAAGAAAGAAAAGAAAAAAAAATATTCTTTGCACCTAAAATAAAAATATTACCTCTGTTGGTTGGATTTTCTTGGTCTTAAATTTTTTTCCCCAGAAAATGAGGGCAAAAGAACTATTTGTTTTAACTTGACCCATCTTTTGCAATCCAGCTTAATCATTTTACAGAACTTCCTTTGAAATAAGTGACCTAGTGCTCAGACAATATGACAGATTTTTTGACATTTCAGTGATAAATCTAAGAGACACCTTTAGAGGGACATGTATCAAATTTTCCTTTCTGTGCCTTTTTTAAAATAACAAATATAGTGTTAAAATTTTGATAATAGAATTTTACTAATTTAAAGCAAGGAATGCCAATGCGACCATAAATATTTAACTTATACAATTATGCTTAAAGACATCTGTTATATTTCACATTATATAAGGTAGAAAGGAGTAATAAGAAAAGGTGTAAATAAAATTCTAGTGAATCTATAAATCATAAAGATAAATTTAATATCTTAGCAATAAAATTTTATGTATTTGTAAGTTAGTTACTAGATTCAGTTGTTGCAAGAACTTTTTCTTGAGGTCTTATATCAAAGTTATTAAAACCCTCCTGAAAAGTACAGTATTTTATATAAAAATCCCTGTCGGAATGAATGGAGTTTTTGAATGAGGGGTATACAAGTTAGTAGATATTGGAGTATACACATTCTTTACTGAAGTGTTCTCTTGCCTATGAGGCCAGCGTCTTCAGCGTGGCCTCTCACTGTCAGTCATAATCTTTTCTCCACCTATTTTCACCTTCTTCTCTAGACTGGGGAGAACCAATCCTTGGACCCCCTTTGCAGAACTAGATTATCCTTAAGCCATTTCTAGCACCAGGATATTATTACCTTAATCTTATCTAAGAATGACCACTTGGTGAGCTTTGTCTAATTCAGGCTCACTCTAAAATCATCTCAAATTGAAACTTAACTCAGCTGGATGTTTGTCCATATCAGAAACAATTGAAACCTACCAGATATAAAATCATGGGCCAGGGGTCTAGCTCAGTGGTTCCGCTGCCTGCCTTGCAAGCGCAAGGACCTGAGTTCAAGCCCCGGCAACCCCCACCCTCCCCCAAAAAATCAGAGCAACTGCCCTGGTTTAAAGAAGGCCAAAGGGAACAGGAGGACTTCCTGTTTTCTAGTGCTGAGCCATTTTTTATTATCTCAAACTCCCATTTTAGAATCTTTTTATTTATATTCATAAAAATAAGTCCCCTAGGGCTGGGGTCTTAGCTCAGTTGTTCCGTCAAGTTACCTGCTTTGCATACTCAAGGACCTGAGTTGGATTCCTGATAACAACAACAAAAAAGTTCTCTAGGTAAAAATCCCTGCAAAATACCCTTTATCTTTATCCCTGGTTATGAAATGGTATGTTAATTTAATTTTCATTTTCTTAGAGATCCCTTTTTCCGTTGTTAATTATTAACCACAGAATTAATTTACCCAAATTCTTGAAGCTTAGCTTACTTAAAAAATAAAGTAGCATCAAGAAGGTTATATTCTTGGTTTTATACCATCTCCCGCCATGGGCCTTTGGAGAATACTTTGTTTTCTAATCTTCCTGGAGAAAAGTTGGGGACAGGAACAAATGTAAGTAAAGCAAACCTTTTGCATTTTACAATGTATCTTAGTTAAGATGAGTGGAAAAGTAAAATCAATAGATTGTGTTAATTTGAGAATCTGAGAAGTTTTTCATTGACTATACACAGTTAAGCCAGAGTTACCTGGGGATCAATTCTAATACTGTAATTTGAAAATCTGTAGTTGCAATTATTTCTACATTTATGAGGCATTTCATAATATTTAATGTCTCTGAAATCTTTTTTTGGGGGTAAGATACCTTCTTTTAAACTATATCCTTTTTCTCTCACTCTTTTTTTTGGGGGGGTACTTGCTTTGTACAGGCTGGCCTTGAACTCATTTTGAATTTATTGTGTAGCCCAGGCTGGCCTCGATTGATTCTCTTGCCTTAGCCTCCTGAGCACTGGGATTATAGATGTGGGCTACCACACTTAGCTAAATAATATCTAGCTATTTCCAGATATTTTACAGTATAGTATAGTAGTGAATGATAAGTGGATATTATCTAATGGAACCTACTCATTTAATATAGGAGGATAAGTCCAGAAAGGGAAGGTAACTAGCCCCAAATCACTTGCTAGTAGAAGACTGAAGCATGGCTTTTTTTAAGATGACCTATCATTTCAGTTTATTTCTTTTTGTCATAAATTTAAGCAAATAAATATGTTAAATACATTGCAAGTATAAATGTATACTTTGGATGTCATAAAATGGCCACCATCACCTGTTATCTTAGGTACAGTACTTTGTGGTGTTGTTTACTTGATTGATTTTTGGTACTGGGGATGGAATCCAGGACCCTATGCAAGCTTCTATCACTGAAGTCATTCCTTTTTGAAAGACAAACAGCTGAAACTTATACAGATGCAGATTAACTGACTTCAAATTAGTGGCAGAACTAGTGTTATAATCAGGAATCCCATAATTCTTGTACAGGGATAATCTGAGTTATTTTATAGCATTACATCGGTCCTTAATGAAAGCTGTTTTCTCCGTTTTTCTTAAAAAAATGGGAGAGTATGCCATTCACAAATTTGTAATTAATACTTTCACTGACTTTTCAAATATTTATTGAGTACCTACTATGTGATGGGCACTGAAGATCAGCAGATGGGAACAGTTCCTTGATCTTACATTCTAATTGTAAAAGTGTGGACAGAAAAGATTCTCTTATGGAAGTGACACAGAAACAGCTCAAAGGACGTGAGGGAGCAAGCCATGCAAATATCAGGGGGAAAGAGTACTCTGCAAAGCCCAAAGTAACATTCTTCCTTCTTTGCAAGCTCAGCAGCCTGATTATCCACAGCTATTAAGAGAAAATAAAAGTAGGAAATTCTTTGTATGGATGAATATCAATAGGGATGAAATACAAGAGCTTGTGCCAGAGACACCTTCTAAGGGCTTCCAAATACTAAATATTTTATGTCTTGCCAGTACCACCCAAAAGACTGCTCAAAACAACATATTAAGTTTAAAAAATAAGACCCATAAGAACATTGAAATTAAAATAGCTTTTGGTCCCTAGATTTTTCTGATTGGAAAAATTTTAATAAGTTCAGTTTAGGGCAGCTGTTGAAAGTGTTTATTTCTGGGAACAGGCTATTCAAGTCCACTGTTAATGTTGTAACTTACTAGCTCGATGACCTTGGGCAAGTTAATCAGCTGTTTGTTTATCTTAAAATGGGAGCAATTATAAGACTTCCTCACTGAATAGTTGTGGGAACACAAAGAAAAAAAATATATATGTGTGTACGTGCATATAAAGCGTTTAGAATAGTTCCCAGCACAAGTAAGTTTTCAGTAAAATGTATTCTTTTACCATTTCTCAATTTCTCTGGTCCCCTGCTGAGCATATAGGTTAGATGATGGTTGGAAGTCTGGAGATTCTTCAGTTTGCCTCTTAGCAGGTCCAAATTAGTTACACAGGAGAACTTCCAGCTGCTTTAAAGGACTTAATTGATCCCTGACTAATTTCACTACTACTAAAGACTTGCTGATTTTCAAAGACATTTAGAATGCCATAATGTGAGGAAGAGCCTGCAAAATTCTTTCACTAGGAGTGACAGGTGTACCCTACTCATGTTGGACCACTTGAATTAATCAATCACTGCGTCCTTTGGGCGTGATACGCACATCTTTTTCTTTGTGGTAAGACATAGCCCTCACCATTCAAATTAGATACTTTCTGTTATATTATTTAAAATCTAGTTTATATTTGCAAATTTCCATTTAATAAGACAATGAAAACAATCACACTAAAACTGTGTCTCAAAACCTTGCATAAATTCACTTCCCTTCTTGTGTAATTTGCCTGAAACATAATAGCAAGGAAATAGACTATTGTTTCATCAATGCTTGTGACCTTGACCTCAATTATACACATAACAAGTGACTGGGAACTGAGTATAAAGTCCTGGCTCATTTATTTATAAAATATGTGACCTCATCTAATTAACCTCTGATCATGTGAAAAGTAGAAGTACTAGTACCTACATCATTGACTTCTCATAAAGATGAAAAGATTCTATGTAAACTGCTCATATGGCTTTGACATATAACTACTCAACTACTGTTATTGTTATTGTTGCAGGACGATGATGGACCTCCACCATTATTTCCATTTCCAGAACATTCCTCCAGCACATTTGTATTTGTATTCTATCTTTGTCTTTATCCATCCACTAGTATAATATTTCTAAGGTTACTTCCTCTTAACTAATTTAGTGAAACTAGTGAATCTTTTTTTTTTTTCTTTTAATTTTTTGAGACAAGTTCTCGCTATTAGTTCAGGCTGGGCTTGAACTCACCATGTAGCCCAGGCTGGCCTCAAACTTGCAGTGATCCTCCTGCCTCAGCCTCCCGAGTGGGATTACAGGCACACGCCCCACTCCCCGCAAAAGTAGTGCATGTTATTTATTGAGTACTGAGAATGGTAGGTACTTTAATGTATACATTCTTACCATAGCCAAGTTTTTTAAAAAGTTATATTACAGATAAATAATTTTTACCTCAGAGGTTTACCTCAGCCAACCAGCCAGCAGATGGTAAATATGACATTGTATGGTTGGTGCCTATGTTGCATTTCATCTCCACTGGGGTAGGGGGACGTTTACATAGTCAACAAACACCTACTCGACACTGTTGAGTCAGCCTTGTCAGCAGAAGTCCCTGGGAAATGCTGTCATTATCTTTCTAAATGTAACCCAGATCTCCAACTCTTTCCCAGGGCTTAATTACAAGTTATTTCTTCCTGGAAACTATGCTAAAATTATCATAAATCACAAAAGAAAATTTTACTTTAATAACTCAATTCAAAGTAGAAATGTCTATTTTAGACTGAATCTCAAGTGACAGAAGTATCAGAGGTATAAGAAAATACACTCTGTACAGTTACTATACCTTTTCTTTTCCTGTTTCAACAGATATACCATTTCAGCACCCAGAGTATTCCTTGTTGGAGCATCTGAAAATATTGTAATCCAAGGTTATGGATACAGTGAAGCATTTGATGCAACAATCTCTATAAAAAGTTATCCTGATAAACATTTTAATTATTCTTCTGGCTATGTTCATTTATCCAAAGAAAATAAATTCCAAAATGCTACAGTCTTAACAGTATGTATCTATCGTTAACTTTCTTTATATATGTGTGTGTTTGTGTGAAGCTTGAATATTAAAAATAGGGATTTAATCATTCGCACCACTCTACCACTATGTGATTATTAGGTGATTACCAGTAACTAATGATAATCTGAGTGAAACAGACAATTCTAAACAGTAATGCATGTAAATGTTCACATTCTTATCAGAAAACAAAATTGTACTTCCAGGCCTGATACCACACACCTGTAACTCCAGCTCCTCAGAAGGTTGAGGCAAGAGGATGAAAAGTTTGAGGCCAGCCTGTGCAACTTAATGAGACTCCATGTAAAAACATTTTTCTTAAAGGGTAGAGGATATAATACGATGCTATGTAGAGCATTTAACTTGCCCAGCATGAAGAAGGCTCCAGGTTCAATCCCTAGTACCAGTACCTTCCCCCAAATTATACCGATACAAAAATATGTGAATATGAAATAAAAATACTTTCTTGCTGTGAAAAGTATCACTACAAAGAAATATAGAAATATGAAATTCATGCTAATCTGTAGTGCATTGCTCATAAGTAAGCACAGATGCTATTTAACATGTTTGTTTAAATTCCAATAATCTTTAATTATAGCTTTGAAATAAAATTATTGATTATTGGAGTAAATAGCTGCCTTTGACAATACACAATTAATAGAAAGAACAAGCTTGAGCAACTAACTTCTATTATGACATTATAGTATTTACTGACTCGAGATCTGCTTGCAATTCAAATCTTACTAAAAATTTGATACTTAAAGAATCAGAAAAATTACAGAATTTCAGTCTTGGAAGGAACTCTGCGGCTCATTTAGACTAGTGTTTCTCTAAAGTTAGTTCTTTATAAAGAAATTAAAAGTTGAAATTTTATAAAGAGCTTAAATTTGAATTTTATTAATTTTTGAAATATTTTAATTTATTTTGTATACTTGTTTTGCTTTTTAAAAATATAAAAACATGCATAATAAAATATATCTAATTTTAGGTTTGTATATATTTAGCTCACATTGTAAAGGATTTATTTATATTATAATTATGAAATGTCGATGCTGAGAGTCTTCCATTTATCTTGTCTTTTAAAACGGATATATAAAGTTTGAGAAAGCTTAATCTAAATAAATTCTAATCAAACATAGAAGTTCTTTCAATGATGTTTTTGATACTAAATGCTCTCATCTCTGGACAAATAACCAATCCATTTAGTAGGTTTATTAAGAATTAAAATAGATTTCCCAGAAGTATTTTTTTTTCGTAGATACTCTCTTATCTGATAAGATAATAGCCCGTTATGGCTATTTACTTTGGAATTTAAATAAATCAAATTAACTAAAACTAAAAATTCAGTTCTCAGTCCCTCAGTGCCACATGTAAGTTATCGGCTACCATATTGGACGGCATAGAGATAGACCATTCCCATCCTCACGGAAAATTCTGTTGACCAGTGCTAAGATGGTTGATTAAAAAGTAGATGAAGGTGAAAGGTTCAGACAAATTAATGACATTGTAAGCATTTCATTTTATCTCAGAATTAAAAAGTATCTTTGTTTGCCAATTGTTAGATGCTGTGCCACAGTCTTCTTTAAAGTGTGAACCCACTGACTAAAGTGCCAATTTTTTTTTTTTTGTACCGGGGATTGAACTCATGTCCTTGCACTTGCAAGGCAGGAGCAGAACCACTGAGCTAGATCCCTGGCCCTAAAGTGCCAAATCTTATTTATTATGTTTACACTTTAAAATAATCTCTTTTTTTTTGTACTTTGCTTCCTAAAATTGAAGAAGGAAACTGGGTGTGATTGTGCACACCTATAACTCCAACACTCTGGGAGGATGAAGCAAAAGAATCACAAGTTTGAACTCAGCCTGGGCAACTTAGCAACTTAGTGAGATCCTGTCTCAAAATAAAGGATGAGGAGGCTGGGAGACATAGCTCTGTGAACCAGCCCTGAGTTCAATCACCAGTACACACAAGTGAGGTGAAGGGAAGAGGAAGGAGTTTAAAAACACTCTGAAGCAATCTGAGTACAGAAAATCCGTAGATTTATATTGCTTTCCAAATTTCTACAATAATCTCACATCCTAATTCCTTAGCATTTGGTTTTAGTGATTAACTTTTATCCTATGTTTCCAAAGCTTAAACATTCACAGAAATACTTTTTTTTTGTTTTTTTGAGACAGGGTCTCACTATGTAGTTGAGACTGACCTGGAACTCACTATGCAGACCAGGCTGGTCTCGAACTCACAGCGATCCTCCTGCCTCAGCCTCCTGAGTGCTGGGATTACAGGCGTGCACCACCACACCCAACTTTTTCACAGAAATACTTTTATCCTTTTATTTTGTATTAGAGTTATATAGCATTGAAAATAAAGGAGTTATAGATTTATAATTTTGTACACAAATTGGGAAGTATGGATCTACTTTGTGGGAGCAGAAGAGTGTGCTATAATATAAGGTGTCTAGAACATCTGTCAGGATATTGTACAGAGGGAATGGAGAGCATGGATTAATCCAGTGAGCTGACTGAGTGAAGATTTCTTAGGAGCTTCTGTAGTAGTTGTTCATTAAATGTGTGTAAAATTAAGGACATGTAGAACCAATAAGACTTTCAATCATTTAAAACTAAATTTTGCTTATAATATTAGACACTGAAAGGCTTTGGACCAAATTAATGTACTCTTCTGGCTTCTGTGCCACTTTTAAAATAAGGTACATACACTTATTTTTACTACAACAGTATTATAGTGGTTTCTGGAAAGCCAGCATGCTCTACAACCTTAGAATTACTTAACTATTTTTCACCGATGTTTCCTTTTACAGATACAACCTAAACAATTGCCTGCAGGACAAAACTTGGTTTCATACGTGTATTTAGAAGTTGTATCAAAGCATTTTTCAAAATTGAAAAAAATTCCAATAACCCGTGACAATGGATTTCTCTTCGTTCATACAGACAAAACTTCTTACGTTCCACACGAATCAGGTAGCGTTAGATGCTTTTTTCTTGGGGGACTAACTGATGTTGTATTGTAGAATACTTACAACACATGAAATTGAGTGGAGACAGACTTACACTTTGCTCAGAAGATTCTCAATTCCTAATGACTTTTATATTTTCAAATAGCATTTTAATTTAAAATTTATAGAGAATTTGCTAAGTAAATTGGAAAATCAACAGTTACATTTATCCAGGGCCAGGGATTTAGCTCAGCGGTTCTGTAGCCTGCCTCGCAAGCGCAAGGACCCGAGTTCGATCCCCAGTACCAAAACAAAAAACAAAAAACAAAACACAACAAACAAAAAAAATTTATCCATACTATCAGTTATTTCCAAATAGGAATAAAGGTGTTTGTTTTATTTTATTTTATTTATTTATTTTTGAGACAGGGTCTCACTATTCAGGCTGGTCTCGAACTCACAGCAGTCCTTCTGCCTCAATCTCCCAAGTGCTGGGATTACAGGCATGTGCCACCATGCCCAGGATAGAAAAAAAAAAAGATTTTAAACATTGTAAAATGTTGTGTTAGAGTTTATTAAACAAATGGAAGACTTAACTGCAAACAATTTTGGTAAAGGGATGTAAATTTATTATAGATCCATGTTCATGAAAAATTTCATTGACTCTGGAGTTAATTACCAATCCGGGAAAACTAAAGAATAAATTGGCCACAAAAATGTTTGGGTATTAGTTTTCAAAGGACTTGTTCCTAAGAAAGTGTCTGTTAAAACACTTTTAATGCACAGTTCTTCTGTTAGAGGTGGAAAGAGAGCAGCCAATTGAAACCTTTCGCTGGAGGAGTATTAGGATTTTCCCCCAGTAAACCAAAACTAAAACAGAAAAAAATAATACTGTTGTCTAATATGTACACATGTCTGCAAAGCTTCAACTCCCTCATCTGTCTTTCTCACCATCATTGGTCTTTAAGCACCTCAGAGATGGAATCATGAGATGTGTAGTGCGAGACAGAGCCCATAATGTTTAATGATATTGTTGAGGAAGGACAGAGAAAAGGAGGCAGGACCAGCAGGTGAGGTGGAAAATCTCTGTGCACAGTGGGAACTTGTAAATGTTGGCTGGTGCTCCTGATGACAGTAGTGAGGCGGTGAGGGGCTCTACAGTTACCATTTCAGCAGGAACACCATTTATGGTCAGCTCACGAAGGAAAGGTCTAAAAGCATGAGGATTTGGTTATCAGCTTAGACAGAATGTCATCCCAGAGTAGTACCATCCCTTGACTCCAAGAAGGAGACTGGGTGTATAAGGCAACAGTCTCTGCTCAAAAGCTTGGGTCCTTTTAAACCTAATCGTACCTAGAATCAAGCGTAGCCTCGCCCCTATCCTCCTACATTAGAGGATGCTTCATTAATTGGGTACTGTTCACACTATTTACCACATAGGGTCATCAGTCATTATCCAGTAAGAATAGAGTCCAATGCCAAGAGGCTGGGACCCTTCTCTGGGTCCTTAACGAGGCTTTCCTTAAGAACTGCTCCACTATTTGTCAGTACTTTACAGTAAAAAGATAAGGTAACCTCATCTGTTCTAATCAGAGAGGAAAGCCAAAGAAATTGCTCTAAATATTATTGGCCCCTTGGGAAGGGCTAGTGAAATAGTGGTGAAAAGCAGACTCTAAAGCCACCATATCTTGGTTTAGATCCCAGCTTGGCGTGTTATTAGCTATGTGAACCTTTTATGAGTTAGACTCTCAAAGCCCCATGTTTGTCATCTGTTAAATAAAGCTAATAATGCAACTCACCTGATACAACTATGCAAACTAAGTGAACTGATACACATGAAGTGCTTAAAATAATGTGTAGCACACAGTAAGTACTAGGAAAGTGTTTTCCGTTACTACCTAATCTGTGGAAGAGTACACAAAGGAAAGGAATTACTTAAAAGTAATTTTTAAAAAATTAATCAAATCTTGCTGCTTCTAGCTCTCAAGCCCTGAATGACATATTTAGTCTGAATATCTTTGAAGGGCTTTCAGGGTAAGCATCTTTAGGGTAAAGGCTTAAGTCTCCAAGACTTGATAGAATAAAGAACATTAGAATATTGGCCCAAATACTTCATTTCCACACAGCCTATGTCCTGATTTATTCCCCAGCTTCATCACCTACCATGCGTCCCCCCAGCTCAAACTGACCTCATTGCAGTTGCTTGCTCTACTTTTTTCTCATCCGCATCAAGGCCTGCACAATGTGCCATTATCTCTGCCCAGTGCCTTCCTGCCCTCCTTTGCCTCGTCAGCTCCTCCTCCACCCTTTCTGTGATCACAGGCTCCTGCAGAGAGCACCCCCTTTCCTAATCTAGCTCTCCTTCAGTACTCCAAATCCTCCCTTCCTGGGGCTAGGGATGCTCAGGCATAGCCCGGGTGTATTCATAAGGCAGGAGGAGGGATCCAAGTTGGGATACAGGTGTGAGAGGAAGGACAGAGCTGAAGGTGAGAAATTTATTGAGATATTGCATTCATCTTCTGTGCTTATTAATATTCGTTTTGGGCTAAGGATGTGTAGCTCAGTGGCACTGCACCTGCCTCACAAGCACAAGATCCTGAGTTCAATCCCCAGTACGGGAGGGGGAAAAGAAAAGATTAGTTTTGCTGTGGCTTCTTTGTAGAGAGTTGCATGAAATATGGACCCTCTAAGAGATGTTAGGTTTATGGTGTCAGATTTGTTTTATTATGTGGGCAAAATTTTGGCCATGAAATGATTTGAGCATCTGCAAAATCCCAGAGAAATTACCATATGCTACTGGAAGAAATTAGATCCCTATGTGTCAAACAACTGTGAGTTAAAAGCCAAACAGAGGCTTTTGTTTAAAAAGTAGGGGTTTATTAACTGACAGAAAGAAATGGTAGAGAACTAACAGCCCTACACCCTGTTATTAATCTTTTCACAATGATAGATCAAATGAAGATTATGTATTTATTTATTGGTACCTGGGATTGAATTTGGGACCTTGTGCTTGTGAAGCAGGAGGCAACACCACTGAGCTAAATCCCTGGGTCTTGAAATGAAGAAATTGATCAGTAAATATAATAAAACCATACAATTCAAAGCTGTCTTTTAAAATCTTAAATGAAACAACCTTATTAAACCAAAAATTTGCACCCTGCATGATCCAGACATAAAATGCAAGACTCAATAGACTTTACTACCTTGACAAAGCTATACAACCACAACTATATTCAAACCCAGGTCACTTTTACTTTCTCAAAACTGTCTACTACCACAAGAACTAATTTGGGGCCTTGTTGGTTTTCATAAGTGGAAGAGTACATAATGTTTAATCAAACTCCCAATTTTCCATTAAAATCTTTAACCCTAATAGAAGGCAATATTATACTCCCATATAATAGTCACTGTTTGGTACTACAACATTTTTTTTCCTCATTGAGTTTATCGGTACATTTTAGGTATACAGTACAGTTACATTCATTATTGGGATCTTGTACCTTTACATGACAGGTCTTGGTTCTCATTTTTTCCCCTTGTTCCTGCCCTCCCTTCACTCTCTCCTTCCCTCCCCAGGTACTACAATATTAATGGTAAATAATGGCCTAACTACACATATAACTAATTTTGTACTATGAATGTGTTCCCAAAGATTCATATGTGAATGTATTTTCATAAAGTGAATTCTACTTTAAATTCACTAGAAGTAGCTCTTTAAAGAGATTTGAGTAGGCTTTTTAACAAGACTTATTAGTAATGTATATTATTAACTAACATTTTCTTTCTTTTAAATATGTATTTTATGTGTATTGAATTTTTATATAGGAACAGTGTGCTAACTGATTGCACCACTGGAGCTCCTATATTGAAAAAAAAATTTTTTTTCTTGTACCAGGGATCAAACTTGGGTCCTTGCGCTTGCAAAGCAGGCACTGGAACCACTGAGCTAGATCTCCAGCCTCCTACATTGGATTTTTAAAATGAGATTTAGCTCTTTAAGGATGGCCGTTGTTTGTTTTCGGTACTGGGGATCCAACTAAGGACCTTGTGCTTGCAAGGCAGGCACAGGGCCACTGAGCTAAATTCCAGGCCCAAGAATGATTGTTTTAAAAAATTAAGATGCTTTTAATTAGCAGAGTTTTTAATGATATAAATTATTCTTACAGTAAAAGTTAGAGTCTATTCTCTGAATGATGACTTGATGCCAGCCAAAAGAGAAACCATTCTGACTTTCATAGTAAGTATTTTATCTATTTAAAAAATACTTTACTTCACTTTTTTAGGACCTGATCTCATATTACACTTCATTCCATACCCGATAATTATTGAACATTTATTATGAATATAGCAGTATAGATCTGTACCCTACAAATAGACATGTATAAAAAGTTCATAAAAATTAAACCCAGCAATTTGATGGATTTTGAACTAAGCCATTGGAGTACATCCTTGGTGATTCTTTTTTTTTTTGGTGGGGATCAAACTTGGGACCTTGTGCTTGTGAGGCAGGCAGCAGAACCACTGAGCCAAATTGTCCCCAGACGTATTGGTGACTTATTTTTAAAGCACAGTCATCAAGAATTAATTGAATACCTATTATATACAAAAATTTTTAATTGTATAATTTTTTTTTTATACTGGGGATCAAACTCTGGTCGTTGCGCTTGCAAGGCAGGGGCCTGAACCACTGAGCTAAATCCCTGGCCCTTAATTGTATCATTTAAGACAAAGAATTATAATTCATGCTATTTACTTTAAAGGAGATTAAAGTTTAATAACTAATATACTAACATGTGGAAAACTTGGCTAAACCTTGAGGTTACCATTTATCAATCATTTATCAGATATGACAAACATGACAGATGGCCATAATAGAACCTATGGTCTTACTCAGTTTGTAAGTTCGTAATAAAACCCATGGTTTTACCCAGCTTTCACATCTAAAATTTATTTTTGTGGAGAAATAAAAATGTCACAACTTGTCATAATTGCTCACTTATTAACAGTAGGTGTATTCGTAATGGTCTTTTGTTATAAGTTGCAATACCTTTTTGCTACTCAAACAAACCAACAAATTTAGAATACAACATACAAAAGAGTAGATATTAGAGAACAAAATCATCTTGGAATATAATCCAGTAATGTGTGCTCTGAGACAAATGATGCAGGAAATCAGAGGGGAAATAAAATATGGCTGAGAGTGAAGTGATATAATCTTTATCTGCAATGGAATAAGTAAGAGAAACTTTGATCCGGGTTTCCTTAATGAAAGGAATTCACAGAGGCTCTATTAAAATAATGAAGACCATTCCATGTATTAAACAGCATGAATTAATCTCTGGGAACAGGAAGAACATGAGACTAGATATTTAAAAAACTGAAAATAATAAATAAACTGGCAGACCTACAAAACACCTGCAAGAGAACTAAGCAGAAGTAACATCACCTTGAATGCTCCTTTTTCTACTGGAGAACAGCAGGGGTGGGGAGCTGTCTCCGTGGCTGAATTTGAGTGATGTGCAGCCTGGTACTGCAGGCAGAAGGAGGTTGAGAAAGCTGATCCTAGAGCCAGAAGAAGAGGAAGAGATCCTCCTCTTAGACTGCACACAACTGAAGATGGGATGAAGAACAGGCAGAAAGATACTTAGCTACAAGTGCCATTCTTCAAAACAGGCTTTTGTATATTTTACAACTTGTCATTCAAGAAAGAAAGTACCTTAAAATTTCAGCCATCCTTTTTGGTTATGGGAAATGGTGCTTTTTTTTTTTTTTCTTTTTAATTTAAAGCTTGATGTGTTCAAGTAAAGTAAAAACCTCATCTCGATAATTTGCTAAAACGAAAACCAAATAACTTTATGGTTAAGCTTTCTGAGAACTTTCAAGTTTTCTGAATCATCTTGATGGTTGTATCAAGCTCAAAGTATCATATTGTACATTTATAAAATGTCTAGCTAAAAATATAGTTTATAGAATATTTACTTTGGAAAACTTCAAACTGGATTCTGGTATTTATAAAGCCTAAGTTCACTTAGCATATTAAAAACATGTTATTTATATTTATTATACTTCTTTTTTAAATTGTATTGGAAAACTTCAAACTGGATTCTGGTATTTATAAAGCCTAAGTTCACTTAGCATATTAAAAACATCTGTTATTTATATTTATTATACTTCTTTTTTAAATTGTACAATAAAAAGTATAGCCTTTTCTGGATAATAAAATAGGGAACATATTAAAAAGATGAAGGGAAATGGCTTTAAATGAACTGTGTTTGCCTTCCGTAACATTTAATTGAATCTTGTTTTTCATACTTCATTTGAAGTCATGAATATTTGTTGGTCAATGGCCTTGTAGGTCAAAGATTATATATAATCAACTAAAGTTTTTAAAATATGGCTCTATGCTTTGAGGGCTGCTGCAGTTAGATTATTCCCTTCCTCCTCTCAAACAAATCACGTGATACCATCTTAATTTCCAAAATGGCAGTGGGGAAAGTAGAGCCCAGGGTGAGGTGCGTAGGTCATAGGGGTTCACCCTTAGAAATGAATTGAGTCTTTTCTCAGAGCGAGTCAGTCCTCTTGGAATGGTTTTGTCATAAAAGCCAACTCTTCCAAGTGGGCTTGCTCTTTCTTCCTCTATTCCACCATACAATGGAGCAGGATGGGAACCACGCCAGATGCCCCTTTCCCAGCCTCCGGGACAGTGCCTCAAAATAAACTTCGGTTCTTTGTAAGTTATCCGAACTCGATAGTCTTTCGTAGCAACAGAAAATGAACTAAGACAATGGCGTTCATTTTATTTAAAGGATCCTGAAGGATTAGAAGTTGACACAGTAGAAGAAAATGATTATGATGGAATTATCTCTTTTCCTGACTTCAAGATTCCATCTTATACTAAGTATGTATAAATATTTGTTAATAAGGGTTTTTTTGTAAAAAAAAAAAAAAGTGTATCTTGAACTTTTGCTTGTGAGCAGATTGACAGTCAAGTGGAATCATGTAGGCTTAGCAAAGGTGTGACAAATGTAGATATGCAAAATCTTTTTAAGTCTGGGGGAAGGTATGCTCAGTTGCTGGCATAAAAAATAAAAAATAAAAATAAAACTCCCTGCTCAGCACATTACTAGTCCCAGCTACTCTGGAGGCTGAAGTAGGAGATTGCTTGAGTCCAGGAATTTTGGGCCAGCTCAAGCAACAAACTGCCCCTCTGTGCACCCCCCAAAAGGAAAAGAAAAATATTTCCTCAACCTTCTCATCTATTCTCTTTACATATAGAAATTAAAGTTGGAAACAGGCAAAAAGTGTCCCAGTTGGTCTTACTCTTTTTTCTTTTTTTCCCCATCAAAACCAACAATTCCTGCTTCTGAGGTGTAAAAGGCTGATGTGGTCTCATTCCTTGCTCTGAGAGTTATAAAACAAGATCTTTTTTCTTTCCTCCTCCTCCTTCTATTTGATCTCACCTGAAAGCATTTTAAGAACATGTTTAAACAGGGTTCTATGTAACACATTTAGTTAATAAATTCCTGGTACGTAGACATCACAATAGGAGGGGCAAAACAGAAACAAAGAACCCATAATCCTTCCTTTCAAGGATTTTAGAGCAGGATGTATAAGACATAAGCTCCTAAAGGTGGCTACAATATAATTTTAAAACCAAATCTTTTTGCCTTGTCCCTGCCCTCCATTTTTTCATTTTCTCATATTTTTTTTCTTTTCCCTTATTACCTTTCCCCTACCCTTCTCACTTTCCCTACACCTTTAGCCCTTTTCTTCCTATTTCGCATTGTAAATTATATCATTAGGATCTTATGTGTTATTATAGTTTTTCACACCAGAGAAACTATTCAGTATTTACATGTGTGACTTATTTATTTTACTTAGGAGTATATCAAGACCTGTCGTATAGCGGGTCAAGATCCCAATAATGAATGTAACTGTACTGTATACCTAAAATGTACCAATAAACTCAATAAAAAAAGAAAGAATTTTAATATCCTTTTAAAACTAAAAAAAAAAAACCAAACCTTTTTTATGGTCATTTTTCCTCTGCCCCAGAGAGAGGAGCTTTCTGTTCATTGTATTAGTATTTCTTTTCTTTTTTTTTTTTTTTTTCTAAAAATGTGGGACAGAATTGGGAAACTTAGATGACTTGGATAATCTAAAAACTGCATGAAATTTCCACAAGCTTGATAGTACAGGATTGAAACCAGTTCTTTTGCTGCCATCATCATTTCTCTGACTGTGTTGTGCCACTTCTGCAATGGCAGCTCACAGATCAGCCACAGGAGTCCATCACGATCAGTACCTTCTTGCCTCAGCTCCCATGAACCTCTTCTCCGCTCTGCCTAGAATGTTCTTTAGGACACAGAGGAAATGCTGCCTTTGCTAAAAGGCTATTCCTGAAGGAGAGCTATTTTAGCCTCCACTCTTTTCTCTCCATTTCTGCATCTTGTGTATTTTCTTTGTGACACTTACCTTAATGTCATAATTACCTATTTATTAATTTGCTTACCTTTTTATTTCCCTGGTAGATCATAAACTCCTTGAAGGCAAGGGGCTTTGTCTGTAACGCGCATTATTATTTCTCACCACTTTGACGTAATGCGTATTTGGAGAGTACACTTTGAATTAATGATAACAACAGTAATGGTAGCATAATGACAACGGAGAGATTAAGCTATTAATTATTGGTCTGTTAATGTAAATTATTTCAAATAAGAATATCTTATATTTCCAAATTTATCTACCAGGGATTCGTGAGGCAAAAGAACAGTAACATTGGACTAGGGGTAAAGGTATTGAACTTATGAATAATGTTAATAACTGTATTATCATTCATTAGTTACATAACCAGTCTTTAAGGTAGGTATTACTTTTCTTATTTCACAAAGTCACTGCTTGAAGCACAACTGCTGGTAAATAGAAAAGTAAAAATTTGAACTTGCAAGAACAATTAACTCTAATGAGATCACCATTCTTCCATCTTGTTCATTTTCTATTTTCAGTACTTAATTGAGTAATAGGAACAAAAATTTTGGATGAAGGTTATTAAATAGGTCATTTTCCTTTTTAAACAAACCATACTTTTTTCTCCAACCATAATTTCACTTATGTGAGGGGTGAATATCTTTCATATCTAGGTCTTATTTCTAGAGACATTATTATGGTCTTTTTTTGTTTTTGGTACCAGGGATCAAACTCAGGACCTTGTGCTTGCCAGGCACGTGCTGTGCCACTAAGCTAAATCCCTGGCCCAGTAATTTCTTAACAATTAAGCTCCAGGATTAAGTAAATTCTTAGGTTATCACCAGTTTCTCAGAGGTAATGATTATATTAATAAAAATACCAATATAGTAAAGACTACTATCCTGTTAATGCCCACTTATTTCAGTTTATTATTTAAAAATCTGTCCCAAATAAAATACTTACTTAGTCTGCATATATTGAAATATATTCTAATAAATTTAAGCCATAAGTTAACAAATTTAAAATAAGAATTTATTAAATTTCCCCTGGGTGAATTAAAAATATTTTATGACATCTATAATTTTAAATATTTTACTTCCACAGGTACGGCATGTGGACAATTAAAGCTAACTATAAGGAAGACTTTTCAACAACTGGAACCACCTACTTTGAGATCAAAGAACGTGGTAATTTCTGACAATTGTGTTTACCTATAAAAAGGTGGTGTTTGGCAATAGTCATTTTCGCTAATGTGTCTAATGCAAATCACTTCCACACGAAGAGGAGGCAACCTGCTGGTAGGGTTGGAAGTTCTGGTGAGGGGTGGGAGGTGGTGGTGGTGGAAGTTTGAACACTTAAATTCTAGGCCCAGTTGTCACATGTCAGCCTTGAGCAAGCAGCCAACCTCTATGGATTTGAGTTTCCTGTCAGACACTGGAAGAGATCTAGTCCCCTGAAGAGCCTGACTTGTCAAGGTCCTCTCTAGAATTATGGTTTTAGGAGAAATAATGAGACAAGTTTGTTGAACCTAGAGAGACAAATAAATGATTCACTCAAGTCTTATAATCAGTGACAGATCAAAGACTATTGGGCTTCTTTACGCCTAATCCAGTGATATTTTTTTCTGACTCACAAATCCCTAACCTTAATTTGAAAATTTAAGATATTCTTATTTTTAAATAAACCATATGAATGGACTAATGATTAATCTACAGCTTAATGTAACCACTTTTGGAGGTATTTTACTACAGTATCTGTATGCTCTATTACCACATTAACCTTCTGATTGAAGCTTGTGTGAGTGTGTGTGTCTGTATGTGTCTATGTGAGACAAAGTCACATACAGGCCAGTCTAGAACTAGTTGTGTAGCCCAGACAGGCCTCAGATTCCAGAGATCCTCTTGCTCCAGTCTGAGTGCTGGGATAACAGGCATGCTCCACCACATCAGGCTGAAGGCCATTTTTTATTCTTTTAGGAAATTCATTATAATAGGAAGAAGAATAAATACTTCACACACACTTTAACAAACAACAAGGGAAACAGTGACAATATTTTGTTGTAACAAAACTCAACCTTAAAGATAATAGGTTCCTGGCTGGGGATTTAGCTCAGTGGCACCATACCTGCCTCGCAAGCACAAGATCCTGAGTTTGATCCCTGGTACCAAAAAGAAAAACAAAAAACAAAAAACATAATAGGCTCCCATAATATGTAATTGTACTGACCTCCCTTCTTCCAGGTGCTTTTGCGACTTTCCCTATAGATCTACAGTTCGTCCACCCCTTCTCCCCAGGATTGGCCCTTATCAGTTCATTATCAGGTTCCCTCCTGGGCTGCTGCAAAAGCCTTCTTTTCAGTGTCTCTGCTGCCAAGCTCTCTCTCTCTTGTGTTAGCCAAAATTTTCTTGATATACAAATCTCATATCATTTCACTATTGAAAAGTCCCCAGTAGCGCAGATAATGAAAATCAAATCTTTATTTTTGAACTGGTCCCTGCCTAGGTCCCCTTCCGCCTTATTTTAGTTACTCTTCAGCTCACTTGCTTGCAGCAATGGTGGCTTTGCACATGACGTTTTCTCTGCCTCCAATACTTTTCTTTTTTTTTCAGCTTTAATTGAGTTTATTGGTACATTTTAGGGATACAGTATAGTTACATTCATTGTGGGGATCTTGTACCTCTACATGACAAGTCTTGGTTCTCATTTTTTCCCCTTGTCCCTGCCCTCCCTTCACCCCCTCCTCCCCTCCCCATCTACAAACACTTTATTTCCATCTTTTCATTCTCTCACATTTTTTTCTTTTCCCTTATTACCCTTCCCCTACCCATCCCACCTTCCCTACACCTTTAGCTCCTTTCTTCCCATTTCTAAATGTCAGTAATCTTATTAGGATCTTCTGTATTATTGCAGGTTATTCACACCAGAGAAACTATTCAGTATTTACACATGTGTGACTTATTTATTTCACTTAGGAGTATATCCTCAGTATGTATCCATTTTCCTATGAATGACTCTAATTTCTCATTCTTTATGGCTGAGTAGTGTTAAAGGCTACTCTAATTTAAATGGTAATATCGCCTCTTTTGTTTCTATTTTCAGTCTTGCCACATTTTTCTGTTTCAATAGAACCAGAAAGTAATTTCATTGGTTACAAGAACTTTAAGAATTTTGAAATTACTATAAAAGCAAGGTAAGAAAGTTTTCTATTCTCCAGTGAACTAGCTAAATTGAGTGCCAACTCTGCTTGTTGGTGGTTGCCCAAATTGAGAGCTGTGGTTCATTAGCAAGTCTGCCATGACTTTCAGAGGGACTGAGTGAGGAGGCATCATGTGTTTATTCTGATGGTAGTTGACCCCATTTTTTTCTTTTTTGTACCAGGAACTGAACTCAGGACATTGCACTTGAGAGGCAGGCAGCAGCACCACTGAGCTAAATCCCTGGCCCAGTTGATTCCGATTTTAGCATTGTTGGTTATTCAACATCAAAAAGGGAACAGTCCTAAAGATTTAAACTCAGTGTGTATATTTAGAATATGGGCCCAATATATGAAAAAAAATTTTTTTATGATACTAGGGATTGAACCAAGGGCCTTCTCCCTAAGCTACATCCCAATCTTTCATAGATAGATAGATAGATAGATAGATAGATAGATAGATAGATAGATCTATATATATCTTATTTTGAGATAGAGTCTCACTAAGTAGTCCAGGATGGACTTGAATTTGTAAGCCTCCTGCCTCAGTCTCCCAGAGTGCTGAAATTACAGGCGTATTGCCTTTATGTCCAGCTTGCCTTCTTTAAAAAAAAAATGCCTTAAGCAGCCAGCAAGTTCTGCATAACTTTTTCAAAACTAAGTACTTTTAAAACAATGATTTATGAAACCAGCTAAGCAGTTCTGTATTCTAGGCCAGGCTGGGCTCACTTGTGAGTGGCAGGTCAGCTGGGGTTGGCAGGTCTAGTAAGGCCTCATGTATGTGTTAATGGTTGACAGGGATGGGGACTAAAAGTGACTGGCCCTAGTGTGTGTCTCATCAACCAGCAGGCTAGGCTGTAGCAGCAGCTAGAGAGGGAAGGGGGAGGATATGAGAGAATATGAATGTACTCTTGATCATCTTGTTGCCTGGGCTTGTATTGGCCGTCCATTACTTCTAACACATTCTTTTATCCAAAGCAAGCTACAAGGTCAGCCCAGGTGAAGTAAATTCCTCCTACAACTTTATATGCAAGGAGGGAATCACAAAGTTTGGGAATATGTGGAGGGATACAGAGCTGGCATTAGTTTTGCAAACACCCTATCAGAAAAGGACAGGCCATTTAAAAATAAAAGTATAGTGTAGTTATTAATAACTAACTTACATAGCTACCTTGGTAGGGGCTTTCCTAAGAACTATGAATACATTAGCATATTGACTCTTTTACAACTGCATAAGGTAAATAATATAACTATCCCTACAGCATAAAAACTGAGATATGTAAATGTTGAATAATTGGCTTAAGACCACACAGCTAGTAAGTTGCCCAGCCTACCTGGTTCCAGAGTCTATGCCTTCCAAACCTACCCACTGCTGCCTCTTTTGCAAGCATTTACTTTGAAAGTAGACTTTACTATTTAGTCTACACCAGGGTAAAAGGCTCATGAGAGAAAGTGCTAGAAACTGCCTTCACATAATGAAGACAATTTATTTGTTCAAATCATTAATAAGGAAAGTTGGCTTTTATGATAGTATTGTTTGCTATGCAGAAGGTTTGTTCTTACTTGAATTCTAAATGGAACAGGAAATGGGCAGTTCAGATGTTTTTCAAAAGAACTAACCTCATATAACAGTGAGATCGGATATGCTCCTTTTAAAGACATAAAAGACAATAGGGAGTAGCTCCCCACTGATAACAGAATCATGGAGGAAGTAGTGTTCACTGGAGCTGCACCTTTTCATCTCCCCAAGATGAGCTCTTTCATCTACATACTAATAAAAAAGTCCATATTCTAGCTTTCTGTTGTGGTTTTATGAGGATGAAATGTAACAGTGAATGGAAGTATATCAAGTGCTTTAAGCAATTTTATTTTATTTTTAAAAATTATTATTATTCTTTGGAGCAGGGGCAGTACCAGGGATTGAGCTCAGGACCTTGGGCACTCAAGGCAGGCAACAGCACCACTGAGCTAAATCCTTGGCTCTTTAAGTGATTTCAAATAGTTGCGTTTTATCTGAATCTTATTATTGTAACCATGAGAGCAAAACAGTTTCACGATATTGTTTGTCAGGTATTTTCACAATGGAGCAGTCAATGAGGCTCAAGTTTTTGTCTCTTTCGGAATAAGACAAGCTATGCAAGACAATGGAAAAGAAATGATGCAAAAAGCAAAGCAAAGCACAAAGGTAAGGTTTTAAGACACATCTGCTGAGACCTGAGTGATCTAAGGATGAAAAGTTATTTCAAGACCCCCCCAAGTCCAGTCCTTCTTTCTCTATAGGCGTGAAGTTGAAGGTTAAATTTCTCTGGGTTTCCACTACTTCTAGAGCAAAGGCCACTTTCCCTGGTTTCAGTCTCTCTTGCCAGCTGATCTTGTGCCGTTTTCCTATGCCCTGTCCCTCCTTGCTCTCAAACTTAGTAGTTTCCCAGCCTCCAGGTATTTACTGTTTCCTTCTGTCCCCTCCATCCTCTTCTTTGCTTAATTCCTTCTTACTCTAAATGTGCACACCAACACTCTTTCTCACCTTCGTTCCTCTGAAATTGGTTCGCTATTTATCCCTTTAGGCCGAAGCCTGTCATCTTAGAGCTTGTCTCACACTTTCCTGCCGTGGTTCTCCATGAGAGGTGACTTTCACCCCCAAAGGGACCTTTGACAGTGTCTTGAGTCATCTGTGGTTGTCACAACAAAGAGTATGCTGATGACACTTGGGCAGTAGAGGCATGAGTGCTGCCGAGCTCCTACAGTGTGCAGAGCACCCCTACCTAGCAAAGAGTTACGCTGTTCAAAATGTCAATAATTTTTGACTTGTGTTGTTATAACATATTTCTAAAGGGAGGAAATAAAGAATTGCTGTAAGTACACAAGATGAAGGACATGTTAATTAGCTTGGTTGCAGTAATCATTTCACAACATATATGCATCTCAAACATGATGTAAATACATATTTTATATGTCAATTATACTCAGAAAAAAAGAAAAGTGTTAATAATTCTAAAGGTGAAAAACCCTTCTTTACTGGAAGGCTTTAATATGAAACTGTTCAGGTCTAACTTATTCCCACTATATTCCCTGAGACAGAATATTTCCTTGCAAAGACTAGGTACTTTAGAAATACCTGTGAAATTATTTACACAGGTTAAGGGCCAGTGGTTATGAAAATTAAGATTAGAGCCCTAGTCCTCTCTTTCTTTATTCAGTGTTTTGTACATTATACCATAGAAGGGCCAGAGATTTAGCTCAGTGGCACTGCAACTGGCCTGGCAAGCACAAGGTCCGGAGTTTGATCCCTGTTACAAAAAAAGAATGAAAAATAATACATTATACCATAGATGATATGAGTTCATACCATGTTTTTTCATGTATTTGCATCATCAACTATATAGCCCTTACTTTTTAAAAAGACAGGCTCATTTATTCAAGATATAACTAAATTTTGTTTGTTTGTTTGTTTGTAGTACTAAGGATCAAACTAAGTGTCTTATAAGTGCTAGGCAAATGCTCTATCAATGAGCTACTTCCCCAGCTAAATGCTCCTTTAAAATGCAAGATTCTAAGATAGACACTAAGATTCAAAACTAAATCAGGACTGAGGACATCAATGGGTGATAAAGCTTGTAGTTATCATGGGCTAGGCCTTGGGTTCAATCCCTAGAACCAGAGAGAGAGAGAGAGAGAGAGAGAGAGAAAGAAGAAAGAATGCTAAGAAAACAAAGATGCCTGGTCTCAGCTAAAACACTAAAATAATTTCAGAATAAAAGATAAGGCAAAAATTGTTTTTAAGTGTAGGATCAAATCCAAGGTCTTATATATGTTAGGCAAGGTGCACACCGAGGCACATCACCAGGACAAAGCTATTTCCAATAATTAAATAATGTGACGTCCCTTATCTTCTATCCCTGTAAGCCCTGTATGTCCTTAAATTAGTGTTTAAGTTTATAAACAGTAAAGCACAAATTAAATTTTAAAAATCCAACAAACTCTTAGTTGAGGTCGGAAATAGTATGATAGCCCCGCGAAGATGGGTGATGCCTGAGGGAGTGGAAGAGGCCTCTTGGTCAGCAGGTACCAGAGACCTGTTGGACCACGTGATGCTCAAGACTCTTCTACATCTATGATTCTGTACAAATAAATTAGAAAAATCATTCTGGGCTTCGTTGTGGACTTATCGGCAACTTCATTGGTGATGCTAAACCAGTCCTCTGACATTTGCCCTCAATTTGGAGGCTGGTCAGAGTGGATATTGTTAGTTCTTCCTTGTAAGTTCTTCTCTAAAGTAACTCTTCCATTTTCCATTTTAAAAAGCTGATAAATGGAACTGCTCAAGTCACCTTTGATTCTGAAACGGCAATTAAAGAGCTGTCATATAACAGTCTAGAAGATTTAAATGACAAGTACCTTTATATTTCTGTAACAGTTGTAGAGGATACAGGTAAGTTGTGTGTGTGTGTGTGTGTGTGTATTTAACTTTGTTTTGGGAAATATTTAGAGAGCATTTCAAAGGAGTAAATGAGTTCAACAGTTTCTTCATGTTTTATTTTCTTTTACAGTTAAATTTTACTTTTTAGGGGGTACCAGGGATCGAACTCAGGCCCTTGCAAGGCAGGCAGCGGAACCCCTGAGCTAAATCCCCAACCCTTACTTTTTGTTTTTGTGGTATCAGGGATTGAATTTGGGCCCTTGTGATTGCAAGGCAGGCGGTGGAGCTATTGAGCCAAATCCTGGCCCCTAAACTTTACTTTTTTATAACATTAAAAATTTGGAGTACAGCAGCGCTCTACCATTATGTAGCCATTGAACGGGCTATGAAGTCCCTATTATCTCAACGGCAGAAGTGGGATGACACTGCCCAGTTGACATCCTAATTGTCTCGACAGCCGCCTGCCTTGAACATCTGTCACCCTGGTGTTCTCACTTGGAGAGAACCCAAATCAAAATGAGATTATGTATGTAAATATTTTTGATGTAGTACCATGCAAATATAAACTATTAGTCTTATCATTGCTCTGTTCTCCATATGTGTACTTCTTTTTTTTTTTTTTTTTTTTTTTTTTTTTTGTCTGTTTGTTTTGGTACTCAGGACCTTGTGCTTGCAAGGCAGGCGTGGTGCCACTGAGCTAAATCCTCAGCCCTAATGAGATGCTGCTTAAAGCCCTATTTAGATATAAAATTCAGGAATTCTATCTAAAATTAGAAGTGATAATATTTTCCTAACATGAGTACAGTAAAAACAACATTTATCTCGTAGGATTATGGTGAATGTTTGCAAAACGCTTAAACAGCACCTATCCCCAGGCATGGTGGCAAACACGAGTAACCTCAGTTACTCAAGAGTGTCAGGAGGGCAACAAGTTCAAGGCCAGTTTGGACAACTTAGCAAGACCCTGTATTAAAATAGGATTGAAAAATGCTGGGCTATGTAGCTCAGTGGTAAAGCACTTGCCTAACATGCACAAGGTCCTCATTCATTCTCAAGTTCTGGGGGAAACAAACAAACCAGTAACTGTCACTTAAAAAGTGCCATATAAGTGTTAGACCTTCTCTTCTTCTCTTCCTGGTCTGACTACTTATTCTTTCTCCTCCTTCTCTGTTTTGTAAAAGGCCACCTATTACTTTCTTAGCATACTTGACATCTTGTCCAGAGTTCTGAATCCTACTCCAGTGGTTTTTATTTTTTTATTTTTGGTACCAGAGATTGAACTCAGGACCCTGTGCTTGTGTGGCGGCCATGGTACCCCTGACCTGAATCCCTGGCCCTCCAGTGTTTTTTAATAGTTGTAAATTATGGTTGCAAGTCAGATAAAAAATTTTTTACTTCTAATATGTCTTGATAACTGCTATTCATACTTTTTTGGTGTTACTTCTAATATGTCTTGATTACCATTATTCATACTTTCAGGTTTATATTGAGCATTCAACTAACCCTGAATAAATAATTTAACTACATTGAGCTCATAGTTTGTATGTGTGCAAAATAAGAGTTAGATTCCCAAGACTAATTCCTAAGTCCTCTTTCACCATTTAATTTTTTTTCCTTCTATGATAGCTGAAGAATTGAGCTAATTACTCAATTATTGAATACCTTGCATATAGCAGATACACTGTGGTTTTTGGAGAGTGTTGCCCTAGCTATTGTCTTTTTTTTTTTTTTTTTTTTTTTTTTTTTTTTTTTTTTTTTTTTTTTTTTTTTTTTTTTTTTTGGTACCAGGGATTGAACTCAGGACCTTGTGTTTGTGAGGCAGGTGGCAGAACAACTGAGCTAAATCCCCGGCCTCAGTTTTTGACATTATCTTAATGTTTCTTTCTAATTTTTGTTGTTCTGCAACTTATTTCAAGTACCATAAATTCAGTTTAACTACTATTTATGAGCTATTTGAAGGTTATTGCAGAACACACAGGCTTACAAATATGAATGATGTATAATCCCAGCACTAATGTGGCTTATAAATGAGCATCTGGTATAAGATGGTAAAGAACTTAGTTACAAGAAAGAACTCTATATGTGCTGTAAGCAATGAATTTAATGCTATTGGGCTTCAGTAGAAGGCAGCAATGATGTCATGAAGATGATCAGTCCTGGAAGTAGGGTTTGAAGGTGGAAGCGGCAGGTAGAATGAAGCAGGGCTTCCACCACAGACAAAAGGGAGGACAGTGAAGGTTGGTCTTTGAGAATAGAAGAACCTTTAGTTTTGCTGCAGTAGAAGAGATGTGTAGGGAGTGCTAGTAATACTGGGAAGAAGTTTGAGGATACCAGAACTTCATGTTATTCTTAATGTATAACTTAATTTTTAGACATTGAATGACAAAACTGTGATTTCTCCAGTGGGCCTTCGGGGTTCTTTCAACATCAAGATCTCTTTCTGATTCTTCTCCATTTCTCTCTATGCACCTGTGATGGAACTGTGAACATACTTCTAAGGCTGTCTCTGGCCTACCTGTGTCCTCTGCTTACTCCCTGGAACACATTCAAGTGAAACTCAGGCCACTGCTGTAAAGTAGTGTCCTTCCTCATCTGTTGTCAGTCCAGAGGTATAGCTCTGCTCCTACAAGGCTGTCTCTACACAGAGGCTTTGGAAGCTCCCTAGGTCCAAATTCCTCTTTGTACCTCCGCCTCAACCAAGAACCGTGATCCGCATACTGTTGGAAAATGAGTGAGCACAGGAAGGAGGTGATTGAATGAGTGAGTATGTGGAACACAGTGATCACACAGCTAACCCATCAGATCACTAGACTTCTAAAAATGTTAACATGATGTTTGCTGTTTCCTTAGATGGACTTTCTGAAGAGGCAGATGTACCCGGCATCAAATACGTTCTCTCCCCCTACACACTGAATTTGTTTGCTACTCCTCTTTTTCTGAAACCTGGGATTCCATATTCCGTCAAGGTGAACCCTGGCTATTCACTCGTCTCTTTCTGTGTATGGAAAACATGGAGGCGCAAATGGGAGAAAGTTGCTGGAGAGGGAGCTCGTAGCCTTTCTGCAGATGCAGGCAGAGAAGCATGGCAAATTATAAGCCAGCTGCAATCTTGGGAGTGATTTCTATTCTAAGAGCACATGCTAGTTTTTAGCAAGTTAGCTTTGTGTTAGGCACTCCCTGAATATACGTTGTATTACATTATGTGTACACAAAATTCCATAAGCCCATAATGTAAAAACTACTAGCATTTAAAATTATTTCATGCCACGTTGTCAGGCTTAAGCTAGAGCTATGTGACTCCTTAAAAATAGATCCCTTTTTCTCGCCACTTCTTTTTTTTTTTTTGGCAACAGGGATCAAACTCAGGACCTTGAGCTTTTGAGTCAGGTGCAGTGCCACTGAGCTAAATCCCCAGCCCTCTTCTCATCATTTTTTAAGTCTCTGGTGATCTTCTTTCTGTGTGTATATTTCTTTGTTTTCCACTTTATCTCTGTATTCTCCATGAATATTTCTGATCTCTTATCTTTCTGTTTTGCTTTCTATCTTTTCCATTTTTACTTTATCTCTGTCTTTCTTTTCTGTCCTGTTTCTTTTTTCCTCCTTGATTTTTTCTCTTTCTCTACTTTTCCTTTCTTAAATGCTGATACTACAGATTAAAATATTCTTTTAATTTTGTATGTATTATTACTTTAAATGTTTTATTATAAATTATTAAATTTTATAATACTTATGAAATAGAAATTTCTATTCCCTACCCTTAATTTTGAAAGGCTACAGCATAATTTTTTCAGCTTTTGAAAAATGTGTTACTTTTAAAAATTAAGTATACTGGACTGGAGATTCAGCTAAGTGGTTCTGCTCCCTGCCTCTCAAGTGCAAGAGCCTGAGTTTGATCCCCAGTACCCCCCCAAAAAATATTAAAATTAAGTATATAGTTAACCCTCTATAGTCTATGGTTTCTGTATCCATGCTTTCAGCCACTCATGGATTGAGTATGCACAGATTTTTTTCTTGTCATTATTCCCTAAATAATACAGTATAACAAATATTTATATAACATTTATATTTTATTACATATAAGCAATCTAGAGATGAGGGAGAATATGAGTAGGTCATGTGCAAATGCTATGCAATTTTCTATAAGGGACACAAACATCTTTAGATACTATATAATTTTACATAAGGGACATGAACATCCTTAAATTTGGGCATTTATGGTGTGTCTTAAAGCCAGTCTCCCTGGATACTGAGAGATGACTATAATTAAAATGTGTGACTTATTACTTATAGTGTTGCTGACTTATTAAGGAAAAAATATTTATCAAGCCTCAAACAAACTTTGAATATGCATGTAGTTTCTTACATATGTACACAGTATATATAATCAGATATTATAAAACGCTCATAGTGATATACAATATACAACAAATATATAAAATATGAAGTATAGAACAAATT